TCACATGAGTATTTCTTCAAAGTGGAACAATATTTTTGACCCAAGACAAGATCTCCTAAAGTATAGCTTGAGACCACAGCAGAACACTAGTTATCTTCTCCATAATTAACTTTATTTTCAGATCTTGGCTATTTTGATTTTCTGTTATCCTAAAAATGTGCATCACCTAATTAATCAGATCAACCCTTTGTTAAAGTTACAAGACCGAAGAGCACACAGAGAAATAAAATGTCGATATGAATGTCTATATATCTATATAATACTTCATATGTATATGTATAAGTACTTCATATGTATAATTCATATGTATAATTAAAGAATCACTACTCTGACAAAAAGATCTTTCTTTTAAAGTGATTCTAAGGCATATTAATTCCTCAAAGCAGAAATAACATAGTGCAATTATTAATAATGAAACAGCTACTATTTTTTTAAAAATAGAATATGAAAAAAATTTTAACTATCTCATTAGATAAAACAGTGTCTGTGGCTCCCATTTTAAATATTCAACAATCAAACTGAACACCCTTTACCATACAGAGAGACTCAGAACAAACAAAATGTAACAGTAACTCTCCTTCCCTGTCTTTAGACATTTCAGTACACGCTAATCACTGCCCTAGTGACAATAAAAAAAGATATGAAATTCAATAATCCTATTCTATTTTTATTTCAAATAAACGGACTCATAAAAACTTCTTTATATCACCATAAATTAAAATAAAATTACAGCTCTCTTCCAGCACTACGCATAACAATTTATTGTACCTAATAATTATTTCAGTTGAATGAAGTCCATATGCTTCAAATAAACCTGAAAGACATTTGTTTTTTTAATCTAGTTCTCCCAGTTAAACAATATACTAATTAGTCACATATTTCATAAAAGTTATAGGGATGTAATAGCAGCTTGTAAATTGCTTTCCCTTGCATAATATATGATTCCATAAATCATCACAAAGCATAAAACAATGGGAAAGACCTAAGACTGGGTAAAAATTAAACTATAAAACACGATTTCAGAAAAATTTATCATTTGATCTCTTTAAAAGAAGCTGTAGCTGGGTATCTAAAAATAAAACAAGAAATATTTTCCACATTTTCCAATCCATCTTGTTTAGATTGCAGCCATCTTTGGAAACAGTGCAAATATACAGAGAAGACAGGATCATGCAGCCACTCATTTCCATTTTGAAGAGGACTTATTAGCTAACCAACCAGCTCAGATTTGATTACATATAAAAGGCCTCTATTTTACATGAAGGAGGGAAAGGGACATGGGATCGGGATTATGGGGGAAATAACATAAATAGCACTTAATCATTAACAAAATTAGAAATCGAGCTGCTTTTTACTCCTTGTAGGTGACATTAAAGAGGAAAAGACACTGCATGTATTGCCTGCATTTATAACAGCATTAAAATACTTTATCTCTATCTTCTTCCACTAAATTCCTGTCACTAAAATCTCAGAAATGAGGTAGCATTAACCAAATTGTACACTTTGAAAATCTTTCCAGAAAGTACTTTCTTTTCACATTATTTAATCCTGTGAATTCTCAGAGCTATGGGAGTCAGTCTCTAAATTAGCTACTATTTGCCATGACCTGTAGATCCCCATTTTGTGCAATCTTTCTGAGAAAAGTTAATAAAAAAACATTGTTAATTTTTCATCCAGGAAAACCTACACAAAAACAAATATCCTCACATTTACCAGACAATTTATACAACCACAAAGACAAAAATTTCTATTTTAAGACAGAATAACGCAAAATCCCAACGAAATATCCTGAATATTAATACTGATAGCATTTTAAGCATCCTGAGATAGAATAAATGATTTTTCCTTATATCATTTGAATAAAACATTAGCTTTTTCTTGACTTTTATACTGGTGAATCCAAAGTGACTCTACACCAATAGGAAATTCCATTCAGATATTAAAACAGTTGTATCCAAATATTTGAAATCATGCAATCAAGTTTTTCAAAGAACAAGTTGCCAAAATCATGTATGTAATGTTTATACTAAAAACCTCTTCAAACTTCACTTAATTTCATTTACAGACTCTGAAAACCTCATAACTTCTTTAATGCCTTGGTGCCCCCTTTTGGTGTAGCTAAATCAAGGCTTCTTTTTTTCAATTAAAAAATCATACACACTGTATGTATTCACCCACAAGACATAGTGTTTAACTTTGGAAATGTTGATTCACACTGCTGAGAGCTCATGGTTATTACAGCTTTTGTTCTGTCTTTACTATTACCAGTTATTGATCTAAAACATGTGCAAACAAACAAAGCTAACTCTTTGAATGGGGAAGGAAAAGCGTCCTTTCCCTTACTATGCCACTAAACAATTGGCATAGCACTGCTCAAATTCCTTGAGTTCTCATCCCAGTCTTCATGGTAAATAAGTGACCCGTTACCTTTGCTGCAGGATATTCAATGGCTCGCTGACTGCTGCATTCAGAAGACAGATTTTTTTTTTTGTCCTTGATACATTTATGCTGTATGTCTGTCTATCATTCTGAGGAAAGAAAGGCTGGTGAACATGTATAGATCCCAACATCTACTGACAAACAGCAAGTCCAAGCATGGAGACACAGTCTAGTAAACAAGCTTTGTCAAAGGGGAAAAATCAAGTTAGCATTTTAAAGAGTTTGACCAAAATTTAAGAAAAGGAAAAAGAATTAAATATTCTTACGACTTTTCATATGTTAGAGCTGGTAATTAAGCCTCAGAAATAAGTTCTTTCCACGTTCAACAGCACTGTGTGAAGAAGACGAGCTGATTTCCAGCAGGGATATTGAATCTTTCCATCTGAAGGACCAATCAAGTGTGAAGTACAGTATAGTTTTAGATTCAATTGAAAGGAAAAAGCTTGACTACTAGTTCATAGCATGACAACTTTCATGGATTAGTTCAGACCCTATTCTCTTCCCTGAAAGAGTAGCACAGCATGAAGACAGTTTTCAATGCACTAAACTTTAATAGCTGAGTGGGGGAGCCAAAGCTTCCCTTTGGTCTCTATAGAAACAGAATAGCCAAAATTTGAGGCAAAATTAAGGTCTTTGGTCTTAGGTGCTATATCTTCCCTCAGAGGTTTCTTTTCACAAACAGACTTTGGCCCTTATCAAATGTACGGTCTTTTGGGGGCTACTGTAAGAGAGGAGAGGCAAAACCTACTTCATTATTTTTCCCTCTGAACTCCACACAGGCGGCTATTTCAATGAAATACCAGCAAGCCAGATGTGTGGCGCCTGGTGTCAAAGGCAGGTGGGATCAACTCTAAGGAAAGACTTTACCCTTTGTTGCATTCGCGGGGGTTGCAGTTGTTGGCGGAAAGTACTTGCTGCTTATCTCCGTAACCACTGCCTTGTGCCTGCAGAGCTCAGGCCTGGGAAGGCCCCTCCTCTCTCTCTTTCCCTCTTCCTTCCCACTCATCAAGGCCTTTGGGATTTTCCCAGAGCTGCCTCCACCCCCACTCCTACATCATAACTGTGGAAGAAAGAGGTGTTGCAACTGAAGGGCGGTGGAGGGTGTACATAGTGAATGTTTTATTAAGAATTTACCATGCTTGGGTTGCCTTTGTCAGAATTCTTAGTCAAAAGACATCAAAATTCCCAGACTTAAGGATTTTCTTCTAACACAGCAACTTTCCTTGCCACTCACATCAACTATGTTGGAATCTACTGAAAAATTGGTTTTGGTTCTTTCTCTTCTTGGTTACAGCTTTATCTCCAGGCTCAGGCCTTCTTTACCGACGGGAAAATGCAGGCTCTGCTGCATTTTCTCCTGAAAAAGTAGACTCCAAACATGGAGTAAAGAAGATTGAGAGTTGCTTTCCCCTAAGTCTTATACCCACCAGAGGAAGATGTCCTCTCAGTAGATGCACTCCTCCTGTAGGAGGCTAATGTGCTCAGATACTGCTAAGAAAATCTCTAAAACACCACAAATTAATGGATGCTAGAAATAAGTTTCTTTACAAAGTCCTATTATTGGCATAGCCAAAGGATTAGCTTGGAAACTGATCAAATCAGCCCCTATGAGCCACTGAGGGAATGCAGCTCCAAACTGGAGTCCCCTCAGAGAAAATATCACAAGCATAGGATACCAACAATCCTACAATGAGGTTGCTGCCTGTATCTGGACTTCATGAATTCTCTCGCTTATGGAAGTGCCTCAAAACATTTTCATAGTGAAAGGGTGACTTTTAGAAAACTAGCATCAAATGACATGGCCCAAAAGACAACTGGAAACTTACACCGAATATGAGTAATTTGGAGTTCTTTCACTTGCTATTCAAAGAAAAATGACAGTGTTAAAACTGGCAAAAAATATTAGAAGGCATTTTTTTATATTTGTTTTTTTTTTTTAAAACAGGCCAGTCAATGCCATTTATTTCACATGCTGAACAGCCTCTGAGACCCAGTGGCGTCCATATTGAGTTTGTTTGCTTGTGCTGTATGTTTTTTCATTTTGTTTTTTGCTTCAGCAGGTTCTTCCAAGAGCCTGCTCACAAAGAAGACAAAAACAAAGAAATTCTCAGTAAAATGAAACAAACAGGAGAAGCTGAAACAGCGTACATCTGAAGAACAATATCAAAAAAAACTCACCAGACATAAACCACGCCACACTCATCCCATTTAATTTCCTGTTACATGTTCTGAGGAAACCGAGAAAATCAGGGCGCAGGGCAGCAATGCTCTGAGGTTCTAACTCAGGACTCCTCTTTGTGACAGATTCATGCACACATACATATCCACACACACCACTGACCCAGGCAGAAGTACACACGCATGCACATGTGGCTAGAGACCCAGGAGACAGAATGGGACAAAGGACTGATCAAGGATATACCATTGACTGGAAACTGGGGACCAAGATAATCCTTCTGTTGCAGGCTGAATGGGAGTAAAAATTAAAACAGAACACAGAAGAAAGATAGGATGCTCAGACAAGAGGTTGGGCAGATGAAAAGGGAAAGAAGCAGGGGGAGTTTTGGGAAAGCAGCCTTAGAAGAGGAGGCCTGTCTTTATTGGGAACTCAGGCAGAGGTCTTGTGACTCCAGTGCTATACTGAGACTGAATGAATATGCCACATTACTTCTGTATCCTGTGCCCTCTCCCAACTCGGAGGGAAACCAAAACACCCACCCTCCTCCTTGCCCACCAACACTCTAAGGAATTTACCAAGGACTTAGAAATGAACCTCTCCTCCCCAACACACACAAAATGTTAGGTCCAGCATAGGCCAAAATCAGGCCAAGTATAAGAAGCTTCAGTAACTCTTCTTGGTGGAACCAAAGCCAGAGAAGCCCATCACAGCTGCCATCTCATCATCATCCTCAAATGTCAACTCTTCCTCGGCCCTCCTCTTCTTTGCCTTCTGTTTCTTTTTCTTGTATGCTTTAGCCTTCTCCTCCTCTTCTTTGAGTTCCTTCATTCTTTCCTCAAAATCATAGTCCTTCTGTTTCTCTTCCATCTTTTTCTTGTTGACCTCAAAATGTTTCTTCACCTGATCCAGGGTGGAACGTTCCACACGCATAGACGTGCCCAGGTTTCGCTGATGTTTCTTTCCATTAATGTGATCCAGGAAGTTGATGGACTCCTTCACCACACAGTCACACACATTGCAATAATATCCTCCCATTTCAGACTGTGGGGTGGTCTTCGTAATGACAATTGTCTTTCCAAGCTTGGATTCCAAGTCCACTTTGTAGTCCCGGTGCCGCAGAAGCTCCCGCTTAACTGGCTGCACTGGTTTTCCATCCTTCTTTTCTCTCTCTTCTGTAAGCCTCTTCTCAGCAAGCTTCTCGTATTCATCTTTGTCCCACTTTCGGCGAAAGTCCAAGTTTTTCGTCCCGCTGCCTGACGCCATCTTCACAGTCCCATTTTTTATATTTGAAAGTTAAGATGCATTGGAGAAGCAACTGAAAGGAGAAAAACTAGAAAAAGGCAGGTCATTGACAGTAGAAAAAGCAAAATTTAAAGGAAGATAGAGGAGTTATGGTCATGGTGACAAGTACAGAAGCAGTGATTTCCAAAAATTTCTCAGAACACTACAATCAATTAAATTCCACAATTTTGAAAGGAGGGGACATTTATAAAGTACAGAGAAAATGACAGTCATTCATGCATCTTTACATCTAATCTTGTCGATGTAGAGTTACATGTATGAAGTACCATATTTAAGAAAACAAGAAAGTGCTGGGCATGGTGGCTCACGCCTGTAATCCCAGTACTCCGGAGGCTGAGGCAGGAGGATCGTTGTGAGTTTGAGACCAGCTTGGACTACAAAGTGAGTTCAAGACCAGCCTGAACTACATCGAGACCCTGTCTCAAAAAGACAAAAATAAAAGAAAACAGGAAAGCAAATATATATATATATATATATATATATATATATATATATATATATATCTCCCACAATTCATACTACTTTTTTTGAAGAGAGTAAGACCAAATGTGACATAACAGGACAGAGTCAGTCAAATAAAAAGGATGGACATAATACATAATGTGAAATCAAAATACAAGATGATGAACAATGGTTACCATAATGCCTCTTGCTATCTTAAAAATAATTGCCTATATCATCATTAATAATAAAATTGAACAAAACAGTAACCAACAAAACCAACAAAACCAAAACACTGGAGACATTACAGGACTTCAAAAGAAGATAATAGTCAAACCAGAATTGGCATTTAATGAATCTTACTGACTATGAAGAGCTACATGTATAAAGTACCACCTACCAACTATGAAGTTGTTGCCTATACTTTTGAACTTGGTACAATCAAGCAAAACAGAATAGAGGAAAATCAGTCAAAACAAGATGGTGAGAGCAATACAGGGTTTCAAATCAAGTTAATAGGAAATCAAAGTGGGTTATTATAATATATCCTGCTATTTTTATTTATTTTTCCTTTAATTAAAAGGATAAAAATGAAAAAGTAAATAATAAAAAAAGAGATTGAGATCAAAGAGGGCATAACTACAAAACAGCGCAGGTCAAAACATAACCATTTAAGCAAAATAGTGTTTCACCACAAGATAATCCTGACATAAGAGTAGTTACCATAGTGTCTCTTTCCTTGAAATCTTTGAGTATAACTTCGTATGTTGTAGCATCAAACATATCAAGACAATGTAAAACCGTTCAAAAGAATGACAGTATTACAGGGTATTTAGAATCAACTAACAGGAAATGAACAATGGTTTCTGTATAATCTCCTTCCCTGTAAAAGTTTTTGTTTATATTATCACATATAATAAAATCCAATAAGATGCAACACGTTAAGACCAATGGAGACAGAAGAACAAAAGTTTGATGGGACTTCTAAACAAAATGATATTAATGCAGCACTACCTCTTATGATGTCTTGTTTTCTCCAAAATAGCTGTTCCTACCATCCAGCCTTCTCTGCCTCATTTCTGTTGAGCTCTTTTTCTGTCATTAGTTGTCAGTTTGTCTTCTTCATTTTGTTTTCTGCTCCATTCATTGTGGCCTCTCTGCCACTGTTTCTGGAATCTTGGTATTTTTCTTTTTTAGATTATCCTGCAGTAATCTCTGTAGAGTGGAATTGGTGGTTGCAAATTCCCCTAGTTCATCTTTATCCTGGAAGCACCTTGTTTTTCCATCAATTTCTAGAGACAGTTGTGCAGGATATATCAATCTTGGCTGGAGGTTATTATCTTTCAAATCTTGAATTATTTCTGCCCATGCTCTTCGTGATTTGATGGTTTGTGCCGAGAAGTCTGCTGTAATTCTGATGGGTGTTCCCTTGTAAGTGATCTGTTTCTTGTCTCTGGCGACTTTTAGTATTCTGTTCTTATATTGGATTTCTGGAATTTTGATTATTATATGCCTCGGTGTAGCTCTGTTTTGGTTGTAGGTGGCTGAGATCCTGTATGCCTCATACCTTTTGCTAAATTAGGGAAATTCTCTTGGATTATTTCTGTGAATACCTTTTGTAGTCCATTTGTTTGTGTCCCTACTTCTTCTTTTATGTTCTTAATTCTTAAGTTATAGATCCTCTTATCATCTTCTAGCCTTTGTATTATTGCTGTTTGTTTTCTTGTTATTTTTAAGAAATTTTTCCTTTCATGCTCCCACATTACAAATCTGTCCTCCAGTTCTGATAATCTATCCTTAGTTTCTTTCAACTGTTATGCCAGCTTTCAATAGAGTTTTTAGTTTCCTGGTAATCTCTTAGAATCTCCTTCACATATTCTATGTTTTCTCTATTTTCTCCATCAAACAATTCTTCCCTTTTTTTCTGTAAGGCATTTTATATAGAGATATGTATATGTATATATATAATATATATATATATATATATATCTGTTTTTTCTTGGGCAGTGCTTAACATTTCTCTAACTATTCTACTTATAACTTGCTTTATTTCATTAAATTCTTCATTTTTTAACTCATCTATGAGGCTCCGGAGATATTGCTTCATGTCTATTGGTGCCGTGTCTGATATTGCATGTTTTCTGCCCTCATTCTCCTTTGCATTTACCTTTCCTGGATCAGTGTTCTCAGGATTGGGGGCCGAGGACCCTTTCTTGTTGCTCCCTCTTCCCATACTTTTTGTTTCTTGCATACAAGCATATGTAGGAGGCCCAGTTTTTTTTTCTCTCTTTGTCTGTTACAGTTTGTTTGAATCCGCCAGGTAGGTGTTCCCGCCCACTGCAGTGTACTAGGGAGACACAGACTTGGGTAGCCTCTGCTGGGCCTGCCCCTCAGGTCAACCTACTGAAGGCTTCACTGTTAGTTAGGGTGCGCCTCCAGGTGCTGAGACCTGGTTTGGGTTAGCTTACTGGATCTTAGTCCACAGCATCACCCAGGCCAGGCACTCACCACCAATCCCATTTCAGAGGGGAATATGTGACTAAAGTCACTGTGGCATCCTGTTCTGGCTAGTCTGCCATGTCACAGAATGTCCTCTGTTGGAGCCTCCTAGTCTATGAAAGGGTCCCCATTCTTCTCACTCACTGCAGGTCGATGTAGGGCTCCCCACCAGTCCCACCCTTAACTCTGTTCGGTTCGTCAATTCCTGCTCTCCGAGCTTTGCTGCGTCTCTCTCCCTGCCTTGCTGATTCAGACACAGCAGCAGCAGCAGGAAATTCAAATCACAGCTTCCAGTGGCACGGGTTCCAGCTTCTACGCTGAGATTTTATCTGTTCCTTTTATAGAACCGGGATTCTCCCCTTGCTTAGGACTCCTCACACCGCATCATTCTTGGATTCTAACCTGGCAATCTCAGAGAGCCTCTGTGGCTGCTGTTATCTGTCCACCATGTTCTCCCAGAAGTGTAATTATATATATATATATATATATATATATATATATATAATGCCTTACAGAAATTATTTTCTTCAACAGTCATTTAAGAATTTAAAGAATACAAGCCTCTAAGTGCCTGAAACATTTGCCAATCCAGGACAACTCATTTCAACAAAGATGCCCTATAGACAAGATATTCCTGGAATATTTGTAACTTTGGCTTTGTTTGTTGTTTGAAATTACTCCAAGTGATTTTATCATTTTTAAATGACCTAGCATTGAGTTGTGTAGGCTCAGTAGGCACTTCTTACTGTTTGCTGTGTGGATGAATAAATCAAGACAATATCAACAACAAAACAACTAAGAAGGGTTTCCTTTGGCTGCCTTTTTTAAAGATTTAATGCATTCATGTACTCATTTAATCAACCAGCATATGTAAACTAGGTAACACAATGAATGAATGTGGTGTGTGTGTGTGTGTGTGTGTGTGTGTGTGTGTGTGTGTTGGGGGATTGTCAGTATTGACAAAACTCAGTGTAATCCTGCTAGCATCCATTGATATATTTTCCATTTGTGGCACATCTACCAGACTAATAGGAAAATACAAATGGCCAAGAAACGCTTGAAAATGCATTTTAATATTAAAATAATGCTAGTCAGAACAATCAGATACATCCTGAAAACTACCTATAATGGAGTCAATACAGGTAGACAGACTTTGAGTAGAGAATTTCATCAATCTTAAAGCATGAATTTGACTTTTTCACATTCTAGGAATGTCCCCTAAGGTAGTAAAATATCCATAAAGATTAAATTACCAACATTTTGTTATTATTATTATTGTTTGTGTTACTACAAAAGAATACAGCTTGTATCAAGGGCTTGAATGCATTATGTTAGTCATGTGATGATATATAAAACAGCTATAGAAACCACTTTTGAGAATATTAATATGGAAAGATGTTCAGAAAATTTTAAATGGAAAAATAACAAGTTTTGCAAATCTTACCAATTTTGAGTATCAATACTTGATAGATATTGGGAAACTGGAAGAAAATGTTCAAAAGGTAAAGGCAACATGGTATGGGAAATGAGAAGGAAGGGAAAAAGGGAAAAAAGTAAAAGCAAAAATGGAAGCAAAGCTTTTTTTTAACTAAGGAGGAGCAGAAGATTCAAAGGGAGGGAAGGTGAATGGGGAAAAAGAATCCAGATATATTATGTACAGATAAAAATTTCCTAAGATGAATGGAATCATAATGTATACCAAAGTGTACTAATAATATTAATTTTAAAAACCAAAGTTATTCATACTGATAGTGACTCAAACCAAACAAAATTGAAAAGAATTGAAAGTACAGGTCCACTGTGATAGGAAAAATGAGCACTGTTAGCAATTTAATATACATGTTATCTCTTTTGGATACACACTTGTAATTCATAATTGAGCAGAAGTCATGGAATGCAATATAAACAAGCCTCAAAGATGTCTTCTTCATTTCTATCTCTTTATAGAACAACACACACTTAGACCTTCTAGTTTTTCTTCCCATCTCACTAGCTATAGTTTTTGACAATGTGTATAGTACCAGG